ATAGCAGTTGTACTCCAATTTGATCAGAATCAGCTCAACTATCCGAAAAATATAAGTATATGCTTATGTACCAGAAAAATTATAAAAATATAGAATTTATCTTTTAATTTTGGCAAAGTTTGGCCCAGGACCATGTACTATAGTACAGGGACTTTTGTGTGATTTTTGAGCAACTTAAAAAATTTGTAATTGATCCAATTTTGATTGGAATCAGCTCAAACTTTTTATGTAACATAAGAACTTGCATATGTATTAGGAAAAATTATAAAAATGGAGGATTTTCAGCTTTTCAATTTTGTGAAAATTTGGCTAAAGTCCCTGTACTATAGTACATGGTCCTGGGTCAAATTTTGGAACAACTTTAAAAATTTCATAAAAAATCCAAATGTGATTGGAATCAGTTCAAAATTTCTATACTACATAAGTACATGTATATGTATCACAAAAAAAATTATAAAAATGGAAAATCTCAACTTTTCAATTTCGGCAAAATTTGGCCTGGGACCATGTACTATAGTACAGGGACTTTTACACAATTTTGGAGCAACTTTAAAAATTCGTAAAAAATGCAATTTTGATTGGAATCAGCTCAAAATTTTTATACAACATAAGAACATGTATATGTATCGGATCGGTAAAAAATTTTTAAATGGAGAATTCTCTCCTTTTTAGTTTTGGCAAAAGTTTGGCCCTGGAACAAAAAGTTTTAAGAATTCAATTTTGATGGGAATCAACTCAAAGTTTTCACACAACTTGAGAACATGCATATGTATTTAAAACTCTAATTTCTATTACAATTAATATTACAGACACTAGTATTTTTCACTATTTCTATTACATGATAACTTCTAAGTGCTATTACCATAGAATGCATGTTAGAACGATATTAATTTTTAACATAATTATTGACACATAGATGATTTATTATTAATATACCAGGCATCAATATGATATTACTATTCTTCCTTTAATATTGTTATGATATATTTTTATTTATTTATTGTTCAGTTGTGGTACTGACTGAAGTTGATAGACTCACTAAAGATGCACAGCATGCATTGAGACGAACAATGGAACTATACACAGGAACATGTCATCTTATACTAGTCTGTAACTCAACCAGTAAACTAATACCAGCCATCAAGAGCAGGTGTTTGGCTGTTAGGGTCCCCGCTCCAACCATAGATGAAGTGAGGAATACATTATCTGATGAATAAGTATAGATTATTCACCAGGTAGAGTTTTCTGTGGGATTTATTTCACTTGGTTAAGGCTACATTTACACAGCAACGAAAATGATGCAAGTTTTGTGCCTGTTTTATGCTTCTGTTTTATGATCTCTGGTATTTTCTTCATGAGAATAAGCTATTTAGGATCAGCTACATCACAGCAGAAAGTTAATACAGTTCATCAAACATAACAATTCTTCTTAATTTTGATCATTTTGATGTAATTTAATGTATTCAGGTGGATTCAACTTGAAATAATTATCTACTCTTGCTAGAATATTCTCTCTCCTGACCAGTTTATTTGACCTTTCCACCTAATGGTGACCTTTCAAAACAATGAATATCTATAGCTGCTATAGCTGACTTTGTTTGTAATGTCAGTTCAAGTGGGGAATCAAGTTCAGAGTTCAGACTTTAATGAAGTCATAGCGACACTAGGTCTAGCTAGGTGACAGTAACTTGAACAGGAACAACTTGAACTTTGTCGTTTGAAGCCTGACTAGCCTGTACACTTAAATAAGTGTACAGGCTATGTACACTAAGTTACATAGTAACTTAGTGTACATAGCATAATAACTACATGAAAATGTAGTTATGTCAATAAAGTTATTTAGATTATGTTATAAGATTATGTAGTTTATTGAATAATAATGAACTACATGAAAGTATCTACATACACTTACTTTACCACTAGATCCTAATTGATCATTAGTTAGCTAAGTGTACAGGCTAAATAAGTGTACTCTGTACACTTATTCATTACATTATGTAATGAATAAGTGTAACACCACAAGGTAAAGATATTTGTGGGATTTTTTTCACTTAGTTAAAACATAATAAGTGGACAGTTTTACCATGACAATTTTGTTTTTTTTTCTAATAAGTGTTTTTGGAGGCTTTAGTTTTAAATCTTTTCATGCAGTAGTATAGAAAAACTTCCAATTGATTTGTTAATTCAAACTTAACTTATTGTTATTACTGTTGTTTTATTAATGTTATTATTATTGTAGATATGTAGTGTCCTACAGTATGTTTGTCATAAAGAATCATTGACTATACCAGATACACTAGCTAAGAAGATTGCAGAGAAGTCTGAGAGGAGCCTTCGTAAAGCTATACTGCTTTGTGAGGTGTGCCGTGTTCAGCAGTAAGTCAATCATGATTAAGACACCAAACAGATCTGATTGGGTGCATGTGTTTGCTACATGGCCAATTAATCATTAATGATGAGGAACTGCAAATTCCTCGTGTTACTTGTGTGATTAATAATTAATTGGTCATGCAGCAAACACATGCAACCAATCAGATCTATTGGGTGTGAATTATAATGATATTAATTATGTGCTTTATTTTGGCAACTCTTTATTTTAGTGATTTGCTATAAAATTGTAATTAGCGGTTTTTAATTTTGCAATTTTTTGTGTACACGTGCATTACTGAGCATGCGCATTAATGATTAGCCATTTTAATATTGGCAATTCCGCTTGCAAATTGTCAAAATAAAACTCTGCCAAAATAATGTGCTATATACAGTATGTACTATACATTAAGATGTACCTCTTTCGTTCTATCTTTCACCTTCTTATCTTTTTTTCTCTTCTTATTGATAGGTATCCCTTCAATGATGATCAGGTTGTCCCTGATTGTGAGTGGGAGGTTTTCTTACGTGAAACAGCTGCAATGATCATCACAGAGCAGAGCCCTAAGAGGTATATTGTAACACAAAAGCAATCGTAATAAAATTAATTAAAATGTATAGTATTTATTTTTGAGGTTACTTGAAGTAAGAGGACGTTATTATGAGTTGTTAACTCATTGTATATCACCTGATATTAATTTTAAAGTAACTAAGAGAGAGAGAGGGAGAAGGGAGGGAGGAGAGAGAGATAAGAGAATGAGAGACTCATAGTGAATTTTGATGAAAAGAGAAAACTTTCTTCTACTAGAAGAAAGGGAGAGATTACACATGTGCATGTACATGTATATAAAATTAATTGTAATATTTTTTCTAATATTTTTTCATTCTACAGAGGATACTGAATGAGCTGGTTGCTAACTGTGATGGTACATTGAAAGCTGAAGTGACTCAATTAGCAGCTCAGTATCAAGCTCAGTCACAACTGGGTAGTAAAGCAATCTTTCATCTTGAGGCCTTCACAGCAAAATTTATGAGAATATATAAACAATTTTTAGAGAAAGGACTGGAGAGTATGGGCTTCTGATAAATGAATAAATAAAATGCATATACTTATAAACACACAAATGCACATCATTTATAGTGATATCATACTATTGTGTGATGTATGTTTCTTATAACTCTCCGGTCACTACAGCCTGAAATTGCACAGTTGTTTGAAATACGACCAAAAGGTCACAATTTATAATAAAACACAATAGAATATAAATTAAATAGTAGTAAGGCTAGGACACAATGTTACCGTGGAGCATTGCTCCAAAACAGAATGGCAAGCCAGCGTAATTACATAGAAAAAAAAACCAAGAAAGAAGGAAGACTAGAATAGATTTAATAAGGAAAAGGAAGCTAATAAAATTAATTAATTAGAATTAAAAAAAATAAAGTAATAAAATTCATATTGGTGGTGACCACTCTGGGGGCTGACAAATGCAAAGCAGACATGGTGTATATTATTATTTGTAGCTATGAATACACTTATAAATGATGTGATAAGTGTATTCATAGCTATGAATACCCCACACAGTGAGTCTGTCACAGATCCTATCGTTTATCTTTAACCCGGCATCATAACTTGCTCCTTTTCTTCTTCTTCAAAATAAATCTTTCTGGACGTTTTTGATCTCATAGTTGAGACATGATACTTATGCTGTTATTGATAATGTGGCTTAGAGAAGCAAGAGCTAACTTGATAGCGGCAGCTCTTCCTCGTAGTCGTAGACCACTGCAAGAGACAGCTAGTGGAGCAGGTCGAGCAGCAGCCATCATTGCTGGTGATAGAATCTGGCCGTATAAGAATGACGAAAATGATCATTGCTTTTTGCTGGAACCTGAGCAAGAAGTGGGAATAAGTTACTTTTACAAAAAAGAAGAAATGGTTAGTGAAATTAATTATTTTTAGTATTGACCATTGCCTTTAGGTTGTGGCAAGTTATTGCAAAGTACCCAAAAACTGTGTTGTGTGACTCAGTGCCACTTATACCATATAATCTACTTACACTTAATGAATTCTATTCTGCAGTTTTTCTGCATTGTTTATTTTGTCCATTACTACTATTATTATTATTACAGCTAAGGTTATTACAGTTAACAACACACAAATCAAAAATAGAAACATAGACAAGGAGAAGATATTTTTTAGATAGTGTTTGAGGGTCTAAATTGCTGGTCAACAATGTACCATCTCAGTCTGAAGCCATGTCATGATCATTTGCAGCTTAGCTACTACTGACTGGTATATAATATGTAGACTCCAAGAGCACATGTAATATTGTTGCAATTACAAAATAAGGGACTACATGTAGGATACCCAGTATGACATTAGCAATTAAGACTTAGACTATGTATTCATTAGATACCACCCTTATCATTCCAAGCAAGAGGCAAGCTTAAGAACACACATATGTATCTAAGCTATTAGATTTGCCCACAAAGTCTTGCCCATGTCATACTGAGTTCTGTTATTATAATGTGTAACATTTTACAATTTGCTGCATGCATAAATTTAAATAAATAATAGCAAAATAATAAAATCTGTCTGTTTCATAAAAATCTAACAATGCTGTCAGTACACAAAATGATACAAAGATTGCTTCATCCATTATTTGTCAAATTTAGCTGAAAGACTAGACTCAAGAACATCTGTATCTTTTATCAGTGACTCATTTTCACTGTAAAAAGAAAGAACAGTACATGTACATGATTAGAGTATTGAGATTGAGAAAGAGAAAGGGAGGGAGGAGGTATAGAAAGAAAGAGGGGAGGGGAGAGACAGAGAGAAGGGAGGAAGTCAAGGAGGAGGAAGAAAAAGAGAGGGTATATGATTAAAGACTAACTCATTTTCAGCCTCATCACTCGTATCATCTTTGTTCTCATTCTTTATACCAACAATGGCTACAGTGTCCTCTTCTTGTACAGTCCTTACCCTACAAGCATTAGACCAGGGACAACAACACCTATCAGAGAATAAAGGTTAAGTATTGTTTTTATTCTCAACTCTTCATGCACAGCAGTTTTCCCACGCAGCTATAAATAATGTAATTCATAATAGTTTCCACCCCCCAAATGATTATCCATGACTCTTGACAGTTTGAAGCCACAACAGAAATAAAATATGACCAGCCTTTAAACAATTAGTCTATGTATACATGTACATGTACCTCAGATAGTAGAATAGGTTAATCCTCTGTAGCCATGGCCTTAGAAACAATTCATCAATTCTCTCTAAACTCTCTCCTTTTGTTTCAGGAAGTGTTAGCAACACAAATAAAAATGAAGCAAAGAGAAACCCTGCCAGTATGTAGAATGTACCGGCCGTCTTTAGTACAGAACCGAGAAGTAATGGGGTTACCATAGCAACCACAAAGTTCCCAATCCAGTTACCAGAAGTAGTGACTGAAACAGCAACACCTGGAGAGCCTAGAGAGGTGGGGATAAATTAATA